TACACAATGCTGCCTGTGCATTGCAAGCTCTCTGAGCCCTCACTTTAGCTCTTGTCCTGAACTGGAGAGCAGCTTCTAGGGATCAACCCCTCTTGTACTTTGACTGTTGCTTTGCAGGGGAGGAATGGGATAATGCATAGCCAGAAAATGCAGCCAGGCTTAGTTCAAGCCTGACATTCAACTATAGAGAAAAAGGTAATGATAAAAGTGGACTCGTAAGATGGGGTAGCTCAACCTGTTTACCAAGCTGAACAGCAGCCTGGGGTTAAGTGAGTGGTTTAAAAACTGAAACTATTTCCCCAAGAAAACTGAAATGACAAAAGACTGCTCCCAAGGCCAAGTGCTCTGCTGTGTGACAGGTGAGAGGTGACAGGACAGGTCCCTGGCAGGTGGTGGGGAGCAGCTGCACTGCACAGCACGGTGTGGCTGCAGCATACACACATTAGAGGGCTATCGAATGCAATCATGAGCTGCACAGAGAGGCACCCACCGCTCCTTCCCAAGGGGTGGAGGGAAAGGGGACTGGAAGGCAGCTGGGGGAGATTTTAGCCTGTAGCATCTGTTAAAATAACACAAAGGAAGGTACTTGCTGTGAGACCAGAAAAGATGGTGAATTGAAAGATATTTCTGGCATCTGATTTTCATTTAAGTGCAAAGAAAAGGAAAAAAGAAGGAAGAAAAGCAAGATTTTTAGATGAGCCTGTCATTACCAGCAGTTGAAAGTTATGCTGAAATAACACAGCTAGTTTGAAAACTGACCACGGATCACAGAAGTGGATCACTGGCATGGATCACAGCAGAGTGAGGCTTCAGCAGCAAGTTCTTCTGACCAGCCCCTGGGATCTCTGTTCCTAGGTAGGCACAGCCCAGGGTATAGGACTCACAGCAAGGTTTGCAAAGTGCTTGTATCAGGGCTCTGACTAGACAAAAACCCTTGGACCCCTAAAATGGACAAAAGGACTAGGTCATTGTTGATTTATTAACTTCATTGCTATTCTTGAAGAGTATTGCCTTTACACCAAGACTGTGCAACTCTCATAGACACACCCTTGTTTTTCCCTTTTCCCATACCTTCTTTTAGCACTGCAAGACCATTTGCTGTGTGATTCCCCAATGTTGCACTGAAGCAGCACCTTTGAGAAAATGCATTTCTCAGAAACCTCATGGCTGGATCATGAAGGGTGGCTGAAGGCAAACAGACAGCCAGAAATTTGACTGTCCACAAAATCATAATTTCCATTGCTCATATTTGGAAGTAGCTTTGGATGGTGTCTGTGGTCCCCCAAACCATCCAGGCCCAGCTCCTTTTCCCTGTGGCTTGTCTGTCATGATCATCATGCATGTATGCTGTGGCATTGAATTGTTCTGGTTATGTGACCTCATTTAAAAAAAAGTTAAAAAAAGAAAAGAAGAAGAAAAAAAAGAAGACTCACTTCCCAGAATCCCAGCACCAAAAAGTGAGTTTATCTTTCCTTTTTTCTTTGGAATATAAGTGGTGAATGGAGCAGAAAGAGTCTGGTTAGCACTGAGACACGAGGGTGTCTTACCCAACCCACCAATGAGCCCAGGAGTACAGGAGAAATGTCTGTTGCCAGCACATCTTCAAAATGTAATTCTGTGATTTCTACCTTTTTTTTTTGTTAGCAGTTGCCAGGCATCTGCCATTCTGAGTTAGTGATTTGTGCATTGTGGGACTGTGCAGATACGAATTATCTTTAGCCAAGATTGGTAAGGCAAGAGAGAAGGTTTGGTAGACTAAGAAATTGTTTCTGGCTTCTTTGAAATGTAATAACAAAAATATTATCTGCTAGGGAAATAGGAAGAAATCCCTCATCTAATGGTTTGGGAATCTCTATTACTACATTTCTAGAAAACAATTAGTAGAAACCTGAGAGTCACACGAAGAAGAGGAATTAGACAATTTTCAGACAGAAATTTTCATCCCAGGACCAGATACTTATGTCCCCTAATACCATGGTACAGAAAGTGTTCATGTAATAAAAGCAGGTAGCAGCCAGACTATTGACCAAAGGCATAGGACTCCTGAAATGAATGAATGGCTGTGTCTGAAATCCTGTGTTTGCTCAAGGTTAAATGACCTCTTGTAGACTTGACATGTACTTGACACCAAGTACCTCCATCCTGGTAGATGATCCCCATTCCCTGCAAGATAAAAGGAAGCTATTTTACCAGCTTGTCAGTAGTAGTAGTGGAGATGTTTTTAAGCTGCATAGACACAAAGCAACATTTGTTCTGTTTACAGAGTAACTGTTACAGAGTAGAACTTGGTGTTTTTCTGCTATGCCAGGTGGCATGTGGATGATGATGTGCCCTCATACAGCAAAGATTCCAGAAACTCATCTCCCCATTGTTAATTACTGAAGTAATTATGAATGAAGAGAAACTTCAGTTTGAAGTGGACTTCATTTTCCACACAATTTATGGTGTTGTTTCCCAATAGAAATAAAAGAGATGGCCCAAAGGCAGGTTCCACCTAACACTGAGCAGATGCTGACGGAGCTGATGGCTGCAGGGTATGGCTGGCTGGGCTGTGTGCATTGTGCTGCTGGCCTGAACCAGGGCTGCTGCTGCTGGGGTCAGGGTCTAAGCTTTCTCCTGCTTGGATAGGTATTAAAGAAAACAGTAAAAATGAAGATACATCTCTTAGGGCAAATCTTCTTGAAGGAAAAGCAGGGCAGAGTTTTTTAGTCCTAGAACCTTATCTTAAATAAAATCCCTGGAGTCTGGTTAGAGGCAGATATTCTGTGTGACACCCCCTGATATTCTATAGCTATTCACAGGTTTATTTTCTAACCACAGCCATTGATTTGAAACAAGAGAGTGTAGACTTGCTGGGGCCTCAGAACTCCTGTAGGGGCCCCAGAGTGAGACTGCTCTGCTGTGAGCATGCTGATTGTCTGCACCTGGCCAAATTGTTTTGTGTTAGCTGCACTGCCTCAACAGGGGTGATAATTTGGCAGTCCAAGGCCACTCTTCACATGTGCTTGAACATGAGGAAAAGGCTGTATCTCCTCAGGAAACCATGATGCTGCTTGTGGAGGCCCCAGATAGCCTCCCCAGGGGCAGCTGTTGGGAAGTGAAGAGTGTAATACCAGAGTTTATAATTCTCCAAGACAATGTGTTTTGTCTTCCTAAGAACTGTGAGTCTGGGTGGGCTTTGGACCTTCCACACCATTTTTCCACAGGTGGAATGGTCTCTGGTCTCATTTTCCATCACATTGCAGTGGGCTGCAGAACAGTCTGGGCTAACTCTTAGGCTTAGCCAGGGCTGCAGTGACTTTTCATCCTGCTGCTTCTTCAGCACCTCCAGCTTCTCCAACCCCAGTGGAGTGTTAGGACCAGACCAAATCCCTCTGGCTGGGATATCATGGAGAACAGGACCTCATACCAGCTTCCTACTGTCTGTGGCTGCTGCTGATGGCCTGTGTTCACCATGGTTTAAAGCACATCCCTTTCTTACATGAAAGAGTTAAGCTGTAAATCTTCTGTTTTACAGTTAATTTCTTCAGGATCTTGCATCAGTGCCAACAGATAAACAGATGTACAAAGAGACTTCAGATTTTTGAAGGCACCGCTGTTCTTCACTTTGCAGCTCAAGAGCTGCACAGATCTACACAAAAAACAACTAACCCTCAGTTTCCCATTACCTTGCTGAGTCCCCTTAGTTGGGTGTAAGCCAGAGTTTGTCTTTCTCAGCTTTGGTGGATCACATTGCTAAGTCACCCACTTTTCCCTCACTGGAATATTCTGCCCGTTTGACCTCTTACACAAAGCTGGGAATCTTTTCTCCCCCTTTCCAGCATATTTTCCTTCTTCTTTTGTTTTTTGTTGGTTTTTGGGGTTTTTTTAAGTTTCAGCATGTTCAAAATAAAATCAATTCAAAAATTCTCTCTTTCCAAGGCATCCGTCAGAAATTGCCTGCTTTTTCCCTGCTGTCCTTCCCCTCTTAGACCTCATTTTCTTGTCTTCACTCTCCCTAATACACAGAGTAAGTATGTTAGGGCCATTCTCAGAGAGCAATGGAATGAGAGAGGTAGATGGAAAAGACACAGCATATACCAATATCTGGAAGGATTTTCATTCTCAGACATGATCTGAGGACAAGAGTCTGTGCTACAAAGAGATGCTCTATGAGTGAGGGCAGTGAGCTGCACAAATAGACACTTCAGGAAAAACCTGTCCAGATATAGGATCACAAACAGTAAGCAAGGAAGCACTCCTTGTGCTTAGGGAAAATAAAGCAATTACCATGAGATATTTTGCAGATGAGATGTAAATATACTAGAAAAAACAGGGGGGCTTGGCTAGAACACAGTAGAACAGTGAGAAGGGACATATGCTAAAGGAGTTTCTAGGTGGACACCTGCTGGCAAGAGCTGGGGAGGACAGGGGATGGTGCAACCTGATCAACAGATTAGGATTCATGTCAAAGGAAAATAAATTCAGGAGTCACAGCAGGGTTCAAACTAGCACAAATGTGTGTGTAAGTGCTGGAAAAAGCAATAACTGGACAGTGATACGTCATAGTTTGTGTGAAATAACCATTCACCAGAACTGAGATGGACCAAGAACATTTGGACTAAGATTACATGATCAACTAAGAACAGCATCCATGAAGCCTATATAAGGTTTACAAGTTTAGATAGTGAAAAATCAAAAGAAAAAACTTTGCCCTATTTTAAAGGGTCAGCACAGAAGCAGTGAGTTTTTGCTAGGGAAATGTCTAAAAAATCTTTCTCCTTCAGACTGTTAAGGGAAAGCCTCCAGTGAATTCTGGAGAATTTATGCAGAGCTACAGTCACCGGTGCTACTGAGGGGATATTAGTGAAATGAGTTATTGCAGATGTGGTATCTTCGTTGATCATTTAGTCAAAAATGAAGGTATTCTTTTCCAGTTTTAGTAAGTAAAAGGAAATAAATGAGGAGAGGGGAGTGGGATGTAAGACCATGTCACTACAACTGAGATATTCGTGAATATAGTCTCTTGAATATTTATTTTAATTGCAAAAGGAAAAAAAAAAAACTTCCAGCAAAAAAATTAAACAAACTCCACTTGGTATACAGAAGTCACATACAAACAGAATATCCAATGGAATACACATGGTCATTACGTTTGCACAGAATTAAAACTCTCCATGTGGATAAAACTTGTACTGAACATTCAGACAAGAGCTTCCATGGATTTATGGAAAAGATTCACAAAATTTATCACCCAGCAGCATTTTTAGCTAACATAATTTTTTAAAACCACAGTAGCTATATTGCAGTAAGAGTCGGGGGAGAAGGCACAGATTGAGTCTCACCCCCTCCTGAAGGTATCCTAAACACGTACTTCAATTTTTCTTCAAGAACAGTTCAGAAAACAAGTTGGTTTGAGAGAACCAAAACAGCTATATGTTATCAAGGTAAGCATTTATTTTCATGCATGTAATCACATGTCTATGAGGAATTATAAAAAAGCTAGGTAAAATTATCTTCCAGCCCTTGAACTGTCAGGTCACTTAACAATAAAAAGTTTAGGGAGTCCTGTAGCAGACTGTGTATTTCCATTTTAGTGGTACCCCATATTCCGACTCTTACTTTGTTGCTCAGCAATAATAATGCCAATAATTTCCTTTTAATGTTAAGCAATCCCAAATTTCTACCTACATACATTTCCATTTCACTCTGGTCTATATAATTTTGCAGAAGTTTTAACGGCATTAGGTACAAAAAAATTTTTTTAAGGACTTTTCAGGTCATTGCAAGTACTGTCATGTGCTACTTAATGCAATTTGGCTACTTTGCTTTCTCAGAGAATGTATTTGATGATATCACAAAGGAAACCCTTGATACCGGTTTCCAGTAGGCCTTAGAATTTCATTCTTTTACAGATCTAGCAAATTAATAGAAAACAAAACAACACAACGACCAACCATAACTTATTCAACCTCTTAACATTGTCACAAAAATGCATCAGATCAAACTAAAAATCTACTTATGTACTTTTTAGTGTGGTACTAACGAATATACTCTTTTAGGAAAATTATCTGGCAAAAACAATTCCCCAATTCCTCCTCATGGCCCAGACTCAGTGGCCTGTCTCTGTTCAGAAAATTCTCAGTGCAGATGACACATGCCTTTCAAACTGAAGATTTAGCAAGAATTAACAGAATGAGCTTTTCTTCAAGGTCTGTGGGCACAGCTGGGAACCCATGGCAGATCAGTGATTCAGAGTTTAAGGTCCCAAATGTATGCAAAGATATTGCTGAGTGCTGATGGCCTTGCTTATGGTCTTAGTGAATTAGAACTATGCAAGGAAGCAGGAATAAATAAATTACTGGATGTCTAATTTTAATTTAGATTAGGTTAGACTCTGGCCTGCAATTTTTTTTCCATTTGTACCTCACTTTATTCCTAATACTGAAATTGTTGAACTTTGAAAGCCATGTGAAAATGAAGTGAAGAATGTGGATCAGTATCTTTAAAGGGGTATCTTCCACTTTTAGTATCTAGAGAAGTTAAGAAACTTAGTTGTCAAAAGCGACCAATTAAGGTCACTACTCTGCTGTGCTGCTGACTGTGACCTTGAAGTTGTTTGCAAACATGTTAAACCAGGGCACCAACCAAAGTTTGACAAGTCATCTTCAAGAATATTGGATATCCCTATTTATTACTTCAGGTAAATATTATGAGTTAACTGTATCAGATTAAAGAAAACTTGTCCACATGATATTATGCAATATAGGCAGACAGAGCACTTAACAGACTCTAAGAATAAATAATTAACTCACCATAAATGCTGAGCTCTACAAGGTTCTTTTAATGCTTCTAGAGAACATGCTTTAAAAAATATAGGCAGGCAGTTTATAAATGGTTTTAAGTATTTTCTGACTGAAGGCCTGTCAAAGTAGTGTTGGTGTAACATGACAATTCCCAAAAAAGGACATTCAGAACTCTAAAAGTAAAATTGACATGCACTTGCAGTAAACATACAAATATCTTTAACCATAGTCTTATATATGAAAAATAGTTTAGGTTACTTAAGAATATTCTTACACTACACTGGTAAAGTGTTTACTATATAATATTTCTACAAGACGTGTACATTTACTAAAAATCTTAAGCCACACAGGCATCATCAACAGCTTATCACACAAACATGATGCTTCTCCCTTTCACACAAGTTTATATACACTGAGTAAATAATTAAATATTGCACTTATTGGCCCATGATTCCTCAGTCTTGAGGTATTAGAAAATAGAAAAAATATCAATTTTTATAACTTTTTTCTTCATGCAACATGTAAGACATTTGAAATTCACAAACGCTAGTACATAGGTTACACATGGTGACGATCCAACTGAGTCACAACACATCTGACATTACTGACAAAATACCAAACAGGACTTACAGCACAAACATTTCATATATCACTAGTTGCAGGTACATGTCAGAATTACTCAAGGAAATTTATCACCAGATGTGGTAAACAATTTCTATCTAACTTTCATTTCTGTGTGTTATAGGTGAACGTGAAGTTATGTGAAAATCAGGACTTTTGCTTTCCCCCAGATCAGATAACAAGTACCTTATTGTACAAATGACAAGCCATCCACCTCTGCTGGAACCATGGTTACTAAACCTATGGTCTTCAATTTTAACACATTTGATTTCCAGCAGAAATGACAATTTAAGGATAAATTTGGGCAAGGTGGCACAGAATATAAACAACTTACAGGGGAAAATGAATGAGTGTCAAAGATGTACAATCATATATATGTGCATATAATATGTGTGTAGTCACAAATTCTGCTTCACTGAGCACCCATGGATAAACAAAAGGAAAGCAAAAAGAAAGCTTAATTTGCAAAGGTGAACTACATTTACTCCTAAATAAAACTGATAGAGTTCATTCAAATAATTGAAGTGCACTGCCTTTTTAAATGAGACTGGACAAGTGATCAGCCTTGGAGAATCTGGAATCAGAATGTATGGATTAATAGTGTGAATTAACACAACTTTTTCCCCTGTTGGCATAAGTGAAGATATGATGCTAAACCCCCTGGGGATGTATCTATGAGGCTTCAAACTCATGGTCTCACATTGCTAATTCTGTCATGCTAAAAAAGAACTAAGCTCACACATTGTGAGTCTATATGAAACAGGCCAAGGAGGAATCAGTCTGTCATCAGAACTGAAATTTAGCTGATGCCCATAAAAATGTAAATAATAAAAATTACTTCTTAAAAATAAATACAGAAAAGAGTAGCTCAGGAGGGGTGGACTTCGTAAGGGGGTTTCTCTTGGAATGCAATTGCAACATCACTAGTCTGCTCTGAAGAAACAAACACATAACCACAAAATTCAGAATTTTTGCTACTTTTTTTTCCTAAAAATAGCAAATTTAAAGCATTCTCAAAGTTAGGATCAAATTTCAGCAATTTTATGCATCCTGAAATCACTTCATTTTTGAAATGAAGATGCAGGTGTTACAGCTGAATATACAGAGCTGAGCAGACTGGGAAGAAAATTTAATCTTTCAGATTCGTGCTCTGGGAAAGGCCACACAGATGTAGTTGCTCAGGTAATTTCTGTAGGCGTTGCATTAAGTATAAGCACAAAGGAACAAACAATTCCAGGTAACAGTCACTTACAAAGCTGTTCAGTGAGAAAAAGTACTTTTTGACAGAAAATTAGGCTGGTTTATATTTATTTTAAACACCAAATGAACAAGTCTAAATAAACTAACCACCACCACCAAAAATAACAGACACAGTATTAAGTCAGTTGCACTTGTAACCTGTGAGCATGAACTCTTGAAAGAATCAAAACCGTGCACCTGACTGTTCAACCCAGCAGGGCTGGATAGCTGTTTGGCAGGTTGGTGCCAGAGGCACCTCAGGAACCAGTCAATCCCCATGTTCCTGGGTGCTCCCTAGGTATTTTCTGACCAGTAGCTTGAAGATGCAACAAGCAACACATTGTCAGAGCATGATAAGGCTAGTGCCCATGCACAGGATTAGCCTGCTGCTATTAGCTTTAGTCTAGATCACAACACGAAGAAAGGATTGTGTACTATTAGTTCGGCTTCAGCTGGCACTATGGAGCTCAGGACTCTGCCTAAAGGCATCTCATCTCTCAGAAATTTAACATACTCTCTGTATCAACTGCTGTATCTCACCAAGTGGGTAAATCTCAGCTGAAGGGGGTATCTATGGCTGGACCAATGACTTGCTGTGACATTCAGTCTTATTTCTATGTTGAAAGTGACAACAAATTAATGCAAGGTGTGCAAGAACTTTTTCACTAATATTTGTGATGAGGCTGAAAGTAGTTTTGTTTCTGCTATCCCAGTTTTCATCTAAGCCTTCCCCTCTTCCAACACAAAATATCATGCTTTGTATCCTGGTACCTGAAGGGATTGTGCCACACTACTGGAGAGATCAGGGATATAACCAAAACCTGCTTGTCTCCTCCAGGAACTCATAATCAGTGACTACTGGATATATGTGAAAAACAAGGCATTGATTGTTTAAATTTAAGCCCTTGATCAAGTTGTGAAAACTACAGTTCTATCATGTAAGTCAAGAGGAGTTGAACCAGATTGACACCGGCTGCTATTGGATATTCTATTCCATAGGAGGCCAAGGCATAATTTTAGATAGAATAAAAATTCTAACACTGCTAGTCCCCTTCAGAATTCTTGGAATATTTAGGGAAGGCACAGTAAGTTACTTCTCAAAAGCTTTTCTACCTTTACACTTTGTCTATGAAAGGCAAGTTCTAGTTGAGAGAGGTACTAGATCATGATGCTCATGATCTAAATGTGACCAACTTTATAGCAGAAAACTCAATATTACTGTGAAGCATGGGACTGCAAAAACCAACCTGTGATGGAAAAATCAAAGCCTACTTTTCCAATGGTGGGTAACCCAGATTGAAAAGAAAAAGCCTTCTTGAACTTGTACACATTTTCAGTTTCAGAGAAAGTCATGACAGGACAAATTTGGTTTAATGGGACCACAGCAGGTCATCCTTTCCAACCTTATACTCAAAACAGTGTCAGCTGAGAAGGCTGAGTGGTTTTCCCAGGGTTTTAGACAGTCTGATCTTTAAAAACTCCAAGGATTTTATTTGAACCTTTTAAAAATTAATTTAACTCTCAACTCTATGACAATGCCTGAGTGTTAGTACAAAGTTCCAAGGAGATTTTAGATAACGACTCATTCTGCTGCTGTATTTCAGATGAGCTTTTTCCTTTTAACACATTTTTAGCACTCAAGGAGCAACACTACTCTGACAGCTGCTTCCTCCAGCCACCCTATCTCATGCAGAAGGCCAGATATGTCTGGAGGCCTAGCAGGTTAGTTGCCTCAGAAACTTTAAGCAGAGGTTCTCCTTAGATTTTGCTGTTACTCTTCTGCCCAGACTCCTTATGCAAAATGAAAAGCAATTAATTAATCCCATTTACATAAAGAACTATTTATCTACCACTCAATTTGTTTAAAAAGATATATGCCAATAATGTATTTCTACCACTTATTAGAGTCTAAATGGTCACAGACACAGACAGGGAGGGTCTTAAATTCATTGCAATAGGATACAAGCAAAGTGTGGCTGCTTGTTTTTCAAGGGACACCTTGAAGTCTTTTTTCCTTATTGCACTGTGCACAGGAGATGACCATTTCACATCAAACATCTCAGAGCAAAGCTGGAAGAATACTTGCACTTCTAGCCAAGCTGCATGATTCAGGATATGCCCACGATCCTTGACAACGTGATTATGTCTCTCCCCTCCTTGCCTGAGATGGTTCAGATGAATAATACAACCTAAGATTTGTCTTAAGAACTTGAGAGCTGAAGCTGGATTCTGTCTCAAGGTTTTCCTGCTCCTTCTTCTGGAGCAAGAATCACTGACATAACAAGATAAGCATGTAAAACTGCCCAGCAGACATCTCAAATGAAGTATGCCTAACTTTGTATCGCTTTTGTTTTTTCCAATCAGCTGGCACCAAGTGGGTGAAAGGGTACTAGTGAAAGTCTCTTAGCACACATAGCATTAAGACACGATGTCTTAAATGGGGGAGGGAAAAAAACAAACATCCTGGAGAGAGACAGGATCATGGTTTGGATACCACATACCACTTCTACCTGGATGGTCCTCCACTCTAAAAAAGGAGGGTGCTTTCTCTTCATAGAGGGAAATCAGCCTCCATGTCTACTAGGGGGAAAAGTACTTAAATAAACTAGCTAAGAGGACAGACATGGCTTTAAAACCCAGACTGAAGACAGCAGACAGCATTGATTCATTTAAATTAGGCATCCCAGGTAGTACCCTTCTAGAATATCTATTTTACATGTGTCTATATGCCTTGTTTGGAAGTAACTTTTATTGTGTCAAAGTGTATTCAGATTATTTAATCAATTTTTAAAAAGCGGCCATTTTTCTCTTAGTGTATATCAGGAGTTATATAAATTACCTCCAAAAAACATAAACTGTAAAGAAGGATTTCTTTGCAGTTGTTGAGACATTCAATATACTATGTGTTAATTCCTTTTATTTTTCAGATTTTCCTCATTGCTGACAGTTTAAAAAATGCCAGCCTTGTCTTAAATTCTGTATAATTGGAAAAATAAAATAATTGGTGCTTCTTCAATTATGTTGTTTAGTTAAAAAAAAGTCACTGTGATGCAAGTAAAGCGGTTGTACAAAGTACTTCAGGATATTCAGGAAGAAACTTCCACCAGTTTCTAGCGGAGTAAAAACTGTGAAATACAACTATTTCAACACTTTATTATAAATGAATTTCTGTACTTTATTCTGCTATCTTCACATTCTTTTGATGATCTTTTCAATGTATTCAGCCTAAGATTAGAAATGTTGACAGTTTTTTATTACTCCTAAAGTTTTAAAAATCCCAATTCTCTTGCCAAAATAAATAGAAAAAAATGAGTTCAAACTTCAGTTCACCGACACCATCAACATTTCTGCAATAGTTCTGAGCAAAATGCAGATATTGGAAGCCACTGTGGTGGTAGCTGTCTAGTGACTGAATGGGAGATGAAATTCCTGAAAACTGAAGCACACAGATTTGACAACAACGTGACAAGGCAGCTTTTGGCTATGAACAACCAAACAAAATGGATTTGGCTCTGTCAGACATAATATAGGATTGAGTGGTTAATGTCTCATGCAGGCAGAAATGGAAAGAGCTAACTAGCATTCTACTACAGGGATAGGTAAGACTAGGATCTCCATAATAATGGATTGAGAAATTAAGTCCAGTTTCAGAAAATTATTAGCTAGACATGCAGACTATTTAAAAATAAATACACTAGCTGTCCCTACAGGATGAGGTACCTAATATCTCTGAGACTCTGGACTGAATATCCATATCCAGTTGGAAATTCACAGGGCATTTTGATGGCTTTGGGCCCAGGATCTATCTTCCTTCAAATTTTGCAGTTTTCAGTCAGACAGGACGTGTAATATAGTGAGTGTAGATTTGCCAAGGCAATGTGCTCCAAGAAGTGTCCCTTGTACAAGTGATCTGGACAGAATGAGGGATTAGCTCACTACAGAAATACTTCTAAATTAATTTTCAATCATGAAAATACACAAATGGCATCAGGAAGTTAACTCAAAACACCCTGACCACTACCCTAAAGTTTCAACTATATAACTTAAAACCAATGAAGTGAGAGACAATTATAGGCAAACATGGTCTGAGGACATGGTACCAGCTGAAGTGTGACATAAAAGAGTAAAAAGAAAAGAGAAATGAATATATACCCTGCATGCAAAAGCCAGGTTCTAAAATATAGATAATCCTTTCAGATTTAAAACTGCTCCATCCCCATATGCATATCCAAACAGCTGATGATGTAGAACAAGAATGTTCTCCCAAACAAATCAGTAAGACAGTATAAATAAACACATATAGACCATTCATAAATACTCTGTTGGCAATAGAACACACTGGAGCTGCCTTTGCTGCATTAGCAGCTGCAGTTGGGCTGCTGTGGAGGAGGGGTGTCCTTTAGCTGTGTGTTCTGGTTGCTGGCAGCAATGGTGGGATTCGTCTCCAGACTTTCTGACATTTTGTCACAGATGATATCCACAAGTCGCTCAAACGTCTGCTTGACATTAATGTTCTCCTTGGCACTTGTTTCAAAAAATTCAAATCCTAAGAAAATAAACAACATATTTATGTTCTAGGGATATTTCGGTATCTCAAATAAATATACAAATTTCTCTTGAGCAAAAGACATTCAGAAAGGAAGCATGTGAGGGCACAAATATGAAAAAAGAGCAGTTAAAATTGTAATACAATCAGAGTAAGTACACTAGTGCTGCTGGCTTTATACAAGGCTGGATAAAGTCAGGACCACTCCAAATATATTCCCTTAGAAAAATTCTACTTTAATGCAGTTTAATCTGTTTCAGAGTATTATTTTAGGAATGCCCTATATATACAGCCATTGGGAACAAGTAATCTGCTGCTCCATCTCTAAATATTACATCCCTCTGAGCATTATTCAGCTGGAAACAGCAATTTCCATTGTGTTATTAAGGTGGTGCGAAAATACAAAATAATACTTGGAAAAGTACAGATAAAGAACCAAGCAAAACACAAAAAGATTTTTTTTGCAATTTTGTAATTACTAAAGACAAACAGGAATCCATGGGACCAAAGGAATTCCTAACTCCTCAAACAGAACTGATAAAAAACCCCAGAAATGCACATAAGGAAGAAAACATCATAATTTATACAGAAGGACTTTTTATCTGTTCATTCCCAGTGATTATCCCAAAGGCAAAAACCAGAGTTATCCGTAGCCCTTAAGGGACACTGGAAGTTTTTATGGAGCAGAGACAGCTGTTCAAAGCTCTCCAGAGACAGTTTTCCTAAGTTCTCTTCTCTGCTCCCATTTGTACCATGTCTCACCTCCCAGATGTGTCTCATTCATCTAGGCCAGGCTTGCAGCTTGGCAGTCAGGCTACAACCTAGAAGGCTTCTGCCAGAGCTGGGTCTTTCCTCATGCTTGTTTCCTTTGCAAAGCATTTGTGTTCTTTAATTTATTTTGTTGTAGGACTTTTCCCACATTTTTCCCCAGTTATGACATTGCTGACCCGTTCTCTGATAACTCACAATTTTCTTCCATTCCTGTCTTTCCACTACCTATGGATTTAATATTGAAACAATTTACAAAACATCTGATTCACTGGTAGTTTTACAGAAGCCTTTTTACAGATTGGTTTAGCCTTTGCATAACTATTTTGTTTTCTTCTGATTAAATCTGAATATTAATGTGCAACTACCACTGTCATTAATTATGAGAAAAATCCCTGTCAGAAAATTTAAATTACTTGAAACTTCTGGTAGAAGGACAGAAATCTGGTAGAAGGAGAGATATTTGTGGGTCTGGTGGTTTGGTTTGTGTTTTTTAATGTTTTGTTTTATTCTGTTTTGAAAGGCCACGTGAAATTTAAATGCAAGTACTTTGGTCACACTAGTTTTATGTATCCAGTATGCTATCAAAACAGAATGCAATCTACACATTCAGTCCTATAACTGCTTTCCATGCAGCCTTTGTAATATGAGTTCTACCTTAGATTTACTGCAGATAATTATATTTAGCTTGGCATGATAACCCAGCAAGAAGTAATAAGATACGTGCAAACTCAACTCTGCTCTGAATTTTTTTTCATATTTTAAATTTATGTAATGTGCTGGACTGAAGTGTCACGAAGTACTAAAATATCTAAATGTATAGGAGCTAAGCACCAACAAAAGCTAGGTGCTTTCATGGGGAGTTGTGTTCATAGGGAGTTTAGATAACAAGAGTTACAAATACTATACAGGGATTTGTTTGGTCATATGACTTCTGTTAGTATCAGGAAGAAGTGTAAGAGTGAGAGTAAGCTCACCAGTATGAGAATACATTGGCATAAAAACCTTTCCATTCCACATTTCTCCACAAAGCAGGAAAACTGTGAATAGTAAAAGACCTTCTACAAAAATTACATACAGGGATACAGTTTGAATCTCTATGATATTGCTTTAGTTGAGCTTTGCTCACACATTCCTTTGTTCTAAACTAGAAAAAAAATGGGGAAAGCCAGTGTAGCATCACTTGCTCATGGCTTTGGCCCTCCTGCAGACCTCCATAGAGGAGAAAGCTGTTCAGATAATTTGAGAGTTTCTTGGGGAAAGGAAGATCCTCCAAAATTTCAGTATGCTGTGTTGAAACCCTGATGCAACTCTAGCCCCACAACACAGTCAAGAATCTTCCACAACTCTTAGTGTCTTCTCCACAGGAAGGAGGAGGAAAGAAGCTGTTCCCCACAAGCAGAACCACAGGGCAGAAGAGCTGAGTGACAACAGGGGAATGGTACACCAGAGCTTTGGAGATGATAGGAAGAACACTGAATCCTAAGGACATTTAGGAGTGGAAGAGTTTTTGCAGTTATAAAGATGGAATAATGAGCATAATCATGAAATAGCAGATATGATATCTAGGTAAGAGATCTGTACAGAGAAAAGCAGAAAATGAAAGGAAAAGAGTCACAAAGAAGAGAGGAGGTGCATGTCAAGAAATACTGTAACAAGTATCTTAAATATAATCAAGAAAACAGACCCACTATTATAGTGAGGATGTTTTGCCATAAGAACATCATGAAAAACTTACAAAGCACCCATTCTCCAGGTCAAATGGAAAGTTACAGTGTCAAGCACAACATAATTGATTCAAATAAAATACAGCTGTGGTGATTTCTGTGAAATTTTAGATATGATTTTGATATAAGAAGGAAATAGCAGTCTTAGCAGTGGTGTAGTTGCATATCATGCTATGATTCCATCACCTTAGATATTAATTGCCTCAACCTTCTAGGCTAGGCTTTGCTGCATAAATGAGACAATGATCAGACCTGAGAGAAAGTGGCTGAGCACCCAAATCCAGTTATTTACTGGAACAGTACAGGTGGGAATTTTGGACAGTCTTGGAAATCAGTCCAAACAGCTCCTGCTGTGTGTAGGCCTATGATAGGTGCTATTTATACGCTCGAATGTGCAAATAAACATCCATCTTCCCAAGAAGAGAATGGGGCATATATGTGAGCTCCTTCCAGGCAGTTTCTGCTGTAAAACAGATGCAGCTGCACATAGGTAAGATGGAAACTGTTCTAACAGGTGCAGAAATGGTAACACAGAAGAGTCTTTTGAAGTCAACTAAGACAGTTAAGAAAAGGTTTGTGCAGTTTCTGATAATTGCCATCAAAGCACTGTGGTATGTACAGAACAAGTAGGACCCACTGGATTACAAAAATTCAGCAGAATAGGAGTTCAGAACCTCATCTGATGCAGCCAAAAACACCATTACAAAGACCCGTGCAAGAGAGGCTCCTGTAGCCACCCAAAAAGCAACTGACTGTCCTGGGCAAGGGATTCAATTTCTCATGTGAGTGTTACCTTGTGAAAGATACCCAAACAAATTAGATTGGTTCGTTTGGCTGGTTTGTTTGTTCAACCAAAACCCTGACTGTGAAACAGTTTCAAGGAGTTATGCAGCATTTTTCCTAGCAGAGTGTGCCCGGAGTCAGAACTTGAACTCTGTTTGTTTTCATTCTGTTACAGAATATTTTGTAGATCTTTTTTCCCCATGACACCTCCTTCTCTCCTGACTCATCTTGTAATTATTTTGCTAATGGCTCTTAGACACCCTAAGCTTCATTAATCCCTATGTATGACAGCCTAAGTTCTATGACTTTAAGTACTTTCTTCAGGGCTTTTTTCCACTGCTTACTATTAACGGAGAGGAAACATTTTCCATGAGGGTATAAGTGTGAAGCAAGGCAGCTATCTGATGATGCCCAGGGAAGCAGACCTCAAAGAACACCATGCTCCCACCACCTGTGATGATCTGTACTGCTGATGTGGATGAAGCCAGGCAGGGGAGATTATTGCAAAGACATGACAAGCCCAAGAGGTAAGTGGGTAGGTAAGGCAGAGCAGAGTTGAAACTCAAAAATCCAAAACATAGAAGTGTTGCCTGAACATACGTACAAAGTGTGTGGTGCATGCAATACGATATTTAAATGCCTATTTTGTGTTTAATTTTATTTTCCTTTGATGATTCTTTCCCGCTTTCCCTACCACTGACTCAAAGAAAGCTGGCAAGCTCTTGGCAGCTCCTACAGAGCACTACAGCAGCAGAGCTAGACAAGGCACTGCCACGGTGCTGTTGTTCACCTGGTGATCTACAATGAATACAGAGCAGTTAGATGGCTTATCTGAATCACACAGCCAGAATTAGTGACTTTGTACCCTCTCTGTCTCACATGTGAGCTGGCTCTGTAGAGGCTCCTTCATGACTGCTCATTAACACTTGCTTATGTCTGCTTTCAAAACAGAGGGAAGAAAAAACACCCAGAAAGCAGAGTCATATGCAAAGAGAACATTCTGCACCCTCTCATCTTCCTGCGAAAATGTGACATCAAGAGCCCAGGCTAGACAGCAAATTTTAAGCACATTTCCACAATCAATACAGACAAGACCTATGCTGATGTTTCACCAGTTGATCAGGAAGGCATTTTGGTTTCAGTGTTTGACTACAACAAAGACAATTTAATTTATCACCCCTGATGTTATGTTTTACAGATGCCCATGAGGGAATGTTCTCTCAATAATTATCCTTCTAAACTTTCATGAAGACAAGCTTGAACTGTGGTCCTTAGTGCTGCTTTTGTAGTTGTCTTGTTCAATCCAGAATTGTGAAGAGTAGTAGGAGACTGCAGCATAAGAGCATGAAATGGCTGCAGGAAGCTGCTGCCTTTGTAAGAGTGGGATGTAAAAAGCAAACTCCAGGAAGCCATGGGAATTAATAATTTAACAATATCACTTTATATAAAGGAGTTAGTAAGGCCTTATTTTCTTGGAATTGCATCCTGTGGGCAGTTCTGAGGGGGCAGTGACAGGCACTTACCTTCTTGCCTGCTATAAATAGTGCCTAATAAGTTTTGCATTCACATTGCCTTGGCTGTCAGTCAAGGCAACTGCAAGATCTTTCTCCCCTGCTCAAACATCCACTTCCTCAGAACTGTCAATATCTTCTAGTCAAAGAGAGGAAGGACACACATGACATGACTGCAAAGGTCATCCCTCCTAGGAAACAGGGCTGAAAG